GTGTTTATAAAAACCAGAGATAGGAGATGGGGATCTGTTGAAAGGTCTAGAGATAAGCTGCTGGACATTTGGGCCTGCCCCATGCCAGCCTCAGGGGGAAAGGAGTTAGTGACATGGAGTTGGCATAGACCAGTCATCACTGTGACAGGCCTACGGGGTCTGGAGGGCTCTGGTTCACACCTCAGGAACTGGATGCCTGGAGCCCCTAGGTTTTCTGATTTCTCATCTCCATCCTCACTGGCAGGAAAGCTTCTAGAACCAGGAGAGGGTTGCTTAAGAGGATGAGGGGTCATGACCAGAGATCGAGGAGGAAAAGAGAGCTCACAGGCTTCCTAGGTAGCCTAAACCGGGTCCCAGCATTAGCCTGGCCCCTGCAGCCAGGAAGGGTGCATGGAGCATCATTTGGACTGGTCAATCAGAGGGCTTACTAGAGGAAGAAACATTTGGCTGGGGATTTTATGGAGGGTTTTCCAGGTGAGAGACTACAGGGCCAGGCTCTAGCAGGGCTGACTGCCTGCCTGGGAAGGATGAGATCAGCAGCAAGGAGGCTAGGAAAGGACTTGGGTAGTGTGGGAAGGGCCTTGGGTTCCATACTGACGGCGGCTGGAAGCTTACCCAGGGCCAAGGGGTATTTGAGCTTAGATTTTTTTTTTTTTTTTTTTTTTTTGAGATGGAGTCTCACTCTGTCATCCAAGCTGGAGTACAGTGGTACAATCTCTGCTCACTGAAATCTCCGACTCTCGGGTTTAAGTGACTCTCCTGGCTTAGCCTCCTGCGTAGCTGGGATTACAGGAGTGTGCCACCACACCCAGCTAATTTTTGTATTTTTAATATGGATGGGGTTTGTCAGGCTGGTCTCAAACTCCTGACCTCGTGATCCACCTGCCTTGGCCTCCCAAAGTGCTGGGATTACAGGCGTGAGCCACTGTGCCTGGCCAGAGCTTAGATATTCTTTAAGCCCTGAAGCTCTGAGGAAGCCTTTACAGAGACTGCTGCAGCTGGAGGTAGGGAGAAAGAAGCCAAGGGGGCAGAGCCTTGGCCCCCACCTCCTGCTTCAACCGAAACATCTTAACCATTTTACATTAGGGCTTTTTTTTTTTGACAGAGTTTTACTTTTTTTGCCCAGGATGGAGTACAATGGCACGATCTCAACTCACTACAACCTCCACCTCCCGGGTTCAAGCGATTCTCCTGCCTCAGCCTCCCGAGTAGCTGGGATTACAGGTATGTGCCACCACACCTGTCTAATTTTGTATTTTTAGTAGAGATGGGATTTCACCATGTTGGTCAGGCTGGTCTCAAATTCCTGACCTCTGGTGATCTGCCCGCCTCAGTCTCCCAAAGTGCTGGGATTACAAGTGTGAACCATAGCTCCCATCTCACATCAGGATTCTGAATGAGATTACAATCGATAAATGTGCCACCACTAAGGACAGTGGCTAATGAGAACCCTGAAGGTTTTAAGCAGGGGAGTGACAGGGTCTCTATCTGCCATTTAGAAGGACCCCTCCAGCTGCTGAGTGGAAGACGGGTTGGAAGAAGAGACAGGCTGGAGGCCTAGGAGGAGGCCATGGAGGAGGAAGCAAGGCCAGATGCCCAGGTGGAGGGAGAAGGGTTTAGGAGGCAGAGTGAGGAGGGCAAGTTGGCAATCAGCTGAAAAAATTGAAGGGGGAAGAACTGGGTGGACAGGAACCTGAGGTGAGGGCCAAGGGGCCAGCAGGACAATAGGTCTTCAAAAGGCCTGTGGTCTAAGTGCAGGGGGTGAGGGTGAGGGGTGGGGAGGAGGTGGCAGGAGGAGGCTATGCATTTGTCAAACCAGAAAGATGATGGGTGTGCATGAGCCCCAGTACACTCTACTCTCAGGCCATTGCAGCCTGCTGGCTAATTATAGGGGAACCATTAGCAACGCACCCCAGGGGAGAGGAGTCAGGGGAAGAATCCAGGGGAGGGAGCAGGCTGCAGCAAGAGATTCCAAAGTCAGACTTCAAGAATGACTTCCTGAGAGTTTCGAGACCAGGGGTCGGTGACAACTGGGCTCTAGAGAGACCCCATAGGTTGGGAGATGGGGGTGGGGGCATTGTGGAGGGAGACTGGGGAAAGGCCAGGATGCCATAACTATCTTTTTCATCCAAACTGTTGGTCATCAAGTGGAACTGAGGCTGGCTCTCAGTGCTTCCTTGTCCCTCAGGCAGGGCCCAACCTTGGCCTCTTCAGTCCTTAGGAGACCCAAGCCATATCCTGTGGAGGTTTCCAATCTGGGAGAATAGCTGGGTCCTGCTTTTGAGCTCCCAGGCTAGGGAACAGAGGAGATTTTTTTTTTTTTTTTTTTGAGACCAAGTCTTGCTCTGTCACCAGGCTGGAGTGGAATGCTGCAATCTTGGCTCACTGCAACCTCCGCCTCCCAGGTTCAAGTGATTCTCCTGCCTCAGTCTCCCAAGTAGCTGGGACTACAGGTGCGTGCCACCACGCCCAGCCAATTTTTGTATTTTCATAGAGACAGGGTTTCACCATGTTGGTCAGATGGTCTTGATCTCTTGATCTTGTGATCCGTCCACCTCAGCCTCCCAAAGTGCTGGGATTACAAGCGTGAGTCACCATGCCTGGCCAGGGAACAGAGGAGATTTAGGCTTGAGCTGAGGTTGACCAGAATGCTCATACACCCCTCTCCCCCAAAAACTGCACTCCCCCATTCCTTCACGCGGCTCCTCTTGGTTGCTGATAAAAGCTGCATTCAAAAGCCTTGGGCAGGCTGGGCTCAGTGGCTCATGCCTGTAATCCATGCACTTTGGGAGGCCGAGGTGGGTGGATCATAAGATGAGGAGTTCGAGATCAGCCTGGCCAGCATGGTGAAACCCCATATATATTTAAAAGAAAAAAAGAAAAGAAAAAGAAAGCCTTGGGCAGGCCACATGCAGTGGCTCACATCTGTAATCCATGAACTTTGGGAGGCCAAGGCAGGTGGATCACCTGAGGTCAGGAGTTTAAGACCAGCCTGGCCAACATGGTAAAACCCCCTTCTCTACAAAAATAGAAAAATTAGCCGGGCATGGTAGCGGGTGCCTGTAATCCCAGCTATTCAAGAGGCCGAGGTAGGGGAATCACTTGAACCTAGAAGGCAGAGGTTGTAGTGAACTGAGATTGCACTACTGCACTCCAGCCTGGGCCTCTCAAAAGAGAAAAAAAGCCCTTGAAGCCTTAGGAAGGAGAGGGGGTTGGGCTGGCAAGCAGCCCAGAACAGGTGAGGCTCCTGACTTTTCCCTCCTCCCCTGCCCCATGGAAGAGATCTGCCACTCAGGCCTCTCTAATCCTTTCTTCCTTCACACCCCACCCCTTGGCCCCAGGAAAGCCAGGTTCAGCAGCAGGTGGCTTGCCTGGAGCCAGGACACCTAGAATCTCAGTAGCTGTACCCCCCGAGTCTCTGTGTGACCCTAGACAAGTTCCTACGCCTCTCGGCCTGATATCAACCAGGAAATTATCCTCCCCACTCATTTCTGAAGTAGAAGAGGAAGTCTTCCTCTGGTTTGAAACAACCTTCCTCTTGGTCCCCCTTAGTTCCCTGGGGCAGTGTGAGATGCCTTCTCCTCCCTCTCAGGGACAGATGAGCAGATTGGCCTTTCCTGTGAAGGGTAGGGGTGACTCACGTGCCCCAGGCTTCCCCTTGCCCTTATCACTCACCTGGATTAATCTGTGACTCATAAAGCAAGTATGGGATGTTGGGGGTTACCTGTAAACTTGGGGGAGGGGGCTGGCTAGCCCCCATGTAACAGGGACTAAGCAGCCCTGAGGACTCATTGACTGTAATATACTATATGGACCCCTTAGGCTTTTGGGTCTTGCTCTTTTCACTCAAAGTATGGAGCTGGGCAAAGGAAAATAGGGTCTTCAGCTAACAGGATTTGGGGGTAGAGGAGGTTGTCAGATACCACAGCCAGAAAGGAGGACCCTTGTTGGGTTCACTAAATGGAACTACGTAGAGAGGCTGAGATCAGTCAGAACAGGGGGAAACTGTATTCTAGCACTTTGGGAGGCCAAGACTGGAGGATCACTTGAGACCAGGAGTTTGAAACCAGCCTGAACATAGTGAGACGACTGTCTTTAAAAAAAAAAAAAAAAAAAAAAGCCTGGCATGATGGCTCATGCCTGATCCCAGCACTTTGGAAGGCCAAGGCAGCCAGATCATTTGAGGTCAGGAGTTTGAGACTACCCTGGGCAACATGATGAGACCCTATCTTTATTAAAAACACAAAAAGTTAGCCAGGGGTGGTGGCAGTTGCCTATAATCCCAGCTACTCAGGAGACTGAAGCATGAGAATCGCTTGAACCTGGGAGGTAGAGGTTGCAGTGAGCCGAGACCATGCCATTTAACTCCAGCCTGGGCAACAGCAAAACTCTTGTCTCAAAAAAAAAAAAAAGAAATTAGACCCTGGGCCTCCCGCTCACCCACCTCCCTAGTGGACCTGGAGCAGGGAGAACAGGAAAGGATGGTGCAGTGCCTCAGAGGTCTAAATTCTCAGCCCTCTTCCCTTGTCACTGGGCACTGGTCAGCTGACAAAGCCATTACCGTGCCTATTTTATGGGTCGGAAGACTGATCCCAGCAAAGGTAACTGACTTGCCCAGGGCCATGTAAGTTGGCAGGGCCAGGCTTGGTTCCCACTGGGACTGGTAACTGCACCTCTTAAAGACACCTGCTATAGTCCTGCCTGGGGGCAGAGTTCACCGCCTCCCCCATGGAGATAATCCAGAGCTGAGTTTGTGAGGGGCCTGAAGCTATAGGCGACTGACTTGAGACTGCAACAGGCCAGCAACCCCTGGCCTTCCCAGGAGCCCATGGAGGGACTATGGACAAATAGTCCAAGGGACCAAGGAGCAAGAGCCAAGGATGACCACAAACCATAAGGCTTAAGGATGGGATTACATTTCACTCCCTGAAAATAAAGCCTGGCATGGTGATGCTTGAAGCTTACGAATGAATAGCAGAGGGAGAGGTGTAGACTCCAGCTCACACAACCAGCCAATTTATTCCCTCCCTATTCTAATTTCAACCCTGGTCTGAGCTGCTCCATGGCAGTGGCTAGGGGCAAGCAGAGATTCACAAAGACCAACAGTTAAGCCAGAACTGGAGGCCAGAGTTCCCACATGCAGCTTCTCATCTTGAGGACAGAGCTTGCTAGCCAGGCATCAAAGTTCCTCCATGACAGGCCCCTGCACTGAGCCTGTTCCCTCACTCAGAAAATAAAGGTAAATAAAAGCACCTACTCCATAGGGCTTGTGAGACCGTATGACCAAATTTCCACACATAAGATACGGATACCACCACCTAACCCCGCCTGGCCCCCTGTTAGGCACTCAATAAACGTCAGCTCTATTGTCTCTTAGGCTTTCTCTTTCACCATCACCACCCACTTGTTCCAGGCAGTAAAATAGATTCCCTTTACTTTGCAATCTTCCAGAGTGGGCTTCCCTGCCCTCCACCTGCCTGTGCCGGATGGCCTGAGCAAAGCACTGTAATAAGTGCTAGGAAGGACATGAAGAAATCTATGTTCAAACATGTTCCCTGCCCTCAAGGAGTTTACATACAGGAAACCAGGTCAAAACTACGTAAAGGGAGGAGACAGGCCAGGAACATGGGGGAAATTAAGCAATTTAACTTTTTATTTAAAAAAGATAGGATCTCGCTATGTTGCCCAGACTGGTCTAGAACTCCTGGGTTCAAGGGAGCCTCCTGTCTCCCTAAGTGTTGAGATTACAAGCATGAGCCACCACACCCAGCTGCAATTTAAATCAGGGTTCGAAACAATTTAATTTATGCCACTGTGTGTGCCTGCCAAGCGAACTGAACACACACACAGTAACTGCTCTAATAGTTCAGAGGAGGGAATGATCACCTCAGGCTCGGGGCGAGGGATGGGCTTAAGGAGGGGCACTAACTATTTGAGCTGAGTCTGGAAAACAGCCGGAATTAGGGGAAGCAGAGAGGCTGCCAGAAAGGGGGTGCAGACAAGACTGAAAGGAGGGAGCATTTTCCTCCTCAGGCCCTGGGAGCTCCTGGGGAGGAAGACTTAGTCTCCTTCATCTCTGCAACTCCACTGCTGGTGCATAGTAGTGGCAGTTTGTGACATGAAAGGGCAAACAGCCAGGGCAGATGCAACCCAGTGCTTTTTGCACCTCTCTAAGACTGGGGGACTGCCAGTCCCCCGATCCCTTCACCTACCCAGCCCTTCCTGTCCTCAGTTCGTTTCCACTGTCTCCACCCTGGGAAGTGGCACCAACACAGGAGGGCATTGTGCTCCTTCACTGCAGTCTATTCATACACATATAGCCCCTTTCCACTGCTCAGTGTCGGTGGAAGGGACACATTTTCTCTGGGTCCCATCTAAAGGCCTAACATCGCAGTGAAGGGCAGACTGAAGTCCAGGCACAGGTCCTGGCAGTAGGAAAAAGACAGAGACTCTTCCAGGCACACGCCCCCTTCTCTGTTTCTAGAAGACTAAGAAAGGAGTGGGAAACTGGGGGCAGGTCTAGGCCCAGGGCTAATAGATTCATCCACCTGGATGAATCTCCTGGGTTCAGTTCTTTCTCTGAGCCGGTTCCCACTCCTCTTCTAGGATGGTTGGGCCCAAGAGACGACACGGGCCACCATGCCCCTGCCCCAATGCTCAAGCATCATAGAAAAAATTGGGGCTGGGCTTTGCTGCAGATGATTCAGCGTGTTCAGCCAGCAGGCCCTCCATGAAGGATTCGTGTCCAGGAGGAGTGGAGGTTGGCCCACTGACATCTTGCTCTAGAGGTCCAAGGTCCTGCTGGCCATCTCCAGCTTGCTCCAGGGCTGGGATCACACAGTCCACCTCTCACTTCGGGCCTCCACAGTCTGCACCAGGCCTTCACCCAGCACAGCAAAGTCCTCCAGGATTGCTTCTACATTGGGCACCATTACCGGCTCTCCACCTTGAAACATCACCATGCGCCCCTTTGTGCCAGAGGCCTGGGGAAATCAGAAAGAGATGAGGGTTGAGTGTCAGTGGCACACCCAGAGACACCAGGCTGGGACAGAGCGGGTGGTGGAGATAGCCACACAAGCCCATGCACTCCACACCTGACACGGGGTTGCCCATAGGGCAGACTATACACTACACACAGACATGCATGCCCACAGGAAGCCATGTGCACACACTCAGTAACATGGCTGTCACCAGCCAGCGCACCTTGAAGGGCTGGGGCTGGAAGCTGGTGGGTTTCCAGAGGACACCAATCACCTCTCCACCATGCTGGTCATAGAAGAAAAGGGCCAGATCCCCAAAGGCCTCCTAGAAAGGGATAGAATAGCGAAGATTACAGGCGGGCACTTAAGAACTCCTCCACAGCCTCGGCTTCACCTGAAGTACCCTCCCCAGTGTCATTCAGCTGTTTAGGACCAACCCTGAGCTGCATCAGATAGAGCTGAGGAGGATCGTAGCCCAGCACGGGCATCAGGGATGAGGGCCCTGGCTCTCTGCGCAGGCCCCGGCAGAAGGAGGCGGCTGGTGAGTCCACGGCCTGGCGGTGCCGCGGGATGTGGCGGGGAGACAGGCAAATCAGCACATCATAAATGTCCAAGGGTGGCCGAAACACCGTCTAAGGAAATGGAGAAGGAGGGATCAGCAGGATCCCCTTGATGGGGAACTGGACCAAGCCCACCTTGGTTTCCTCCTTCCCTTTCATCTGACTGCCTGCTATGGGCCCACCTGCCCATGTGAAGACAGAAACACCAAGACCCACAGAGGAAGCAGCTGGTGCGCAGCCCAGCAGGAGGAGCGCAGGCTAGAAACAGGAGGCCCAGATGGAGCCCAGCTTCCCCAGGCTCTGCCACCCCAGGCACCACGGCAGCTTCAACACCTCCTCTGTTCAGTCTCATTAAACAAGGGGACCCGACCTCCTGTGAGATCCCCAAACTCTGGGCTTCCAAAAGACAGAAACCCCAAAGGCCCTGGAGTCACTGCTGGTCAGAAGTTTACCCTGATGTCCCCAGGCCCCCGGGGATCCATGAGCTGCTTCTCTAACACAGGCAGGGCTTCCGCTGCCAGGACCACAAGCTGCTGCAGGATCTGCGGGGTACAGAAACAGACTGGAACTGACAGTGGGTCTCTCCCAGCTCAGGCTGGGCCTTTTTCCTTGGGAAGAAAACCACACATCAGGGGGCAGCTATGGGGCTGAACCTGGGCCGAGGGTCCATCCTGTGTCCACACAGAGTTTTTGCGGTCTTGGGGGGTAACAATGACCATGACGGGGAGTTGTGCCCGAGCCGCCAGGAAGCCACTTCGGATCTCCACCTGCTCCTCCACTAGAGACAAGAATGGGTCTGGGTCAGCCTGGCCCTCCCCTGAAGACACCGTCTACTCCCCAGGTACTGCTACAGTGCGCCCAACAGCTGCTCATCACAGGTATTTTTCAACACCCCCTACCAACAAGTGGCAAAGGTGACCAAAGGGACATCACATTTGCCTCAACTGGGTGGGGCATTAATCTCCCAACCTCAGCCCAGGGACAGAATTTTCCACTGCTTGGCACCCCTAGTGTGGTTTCCAGGCCTGCACAAGCTGAGTCTTGCCCCCGGCCCCCTCCCACCCTGGGCTTCCACACACCTGGGGAATTAGGAACCTGACACCCTGCTCTCTGCGGAGACCAGGAGTGCCTCATGTTACAACCAGAAATCACCATTCCCACCCCGCCAAGAGGTCTGAGTATGCTATACTTCCTGGCTCCTTGCCCTAATACTTCTCACCTGGTATACAGGATCCTCCTTCTATTCTCCTCTTCCTTCCACAGCATCCCCCTCCCCGCCGGGAGCTTGCTTACCACCCTGTCATTCTGTCTCTGACAACTGAGAGCAAACCATGTCTCAATGGTCAGGCTGAGACATTCAAGGCTGGGGAGGCACAGAGAAAACCTAACACTGCCAGGGAAAACCCTTGCCTGAAATCCATAAAGGGCAGTTCTTCCAGTAGTCTGACCCCAGTTCTACCACTTACCAGTGAGCTCATTGTTGAGATTGACAATAAGGGGGTTGTTCTTCCAATCAAACGTTGATACCAGGAAAAGGAATCGAAGGAAGCCAACCTGGGGGGAACTAAAGGGCTGGAGTAGGCAAAGAGTCCAGGGTCCAGCCATATATCCCCAGGCCTCCTTCAGTCTATGGAGCTCAGACCCCCTGGTGTGGATACCGGGAGCAGGGTATCTTAGAACCCCTCCTGTCACTTGCTTTACAACCCATTCCCATGTAGACTTAAGGTATAGAACAAAAGATGATAGCTGGCCCCAAGGGAACTTCCTGGCTAGGGAAAAAGTGGAGGGAATCACCTGGGAGGGGTGAAGGGCTCAGGGTGCAGGAAAAGGGCAGCAGCCACCAGATCCAGGCTCTCGTCAGTGAACCCCTCACCAAGAAGCTGGGCACGCACCCATCGCTTGGCCAGCCGCGCCACACCAGAGAAGGCTGGGTGCTGCTGCTGCAGGCTGGGGAGAAGAGGGAGTGTCAGCGAGACTCAGGCACCCAGGGCCCAGCCTTGGTGCTAATAGGTTATACATGTAATCTCATGTTCTCTTAACAAAGGCTACAACAAATTGACCCTAGTGTTATCTCCATTTTACAGATGAGAAATATAGGAACCAGGGAGGAAAATCTGACCATAGGGTCACAGTCAGTAAGCGGCAGAGCCAGGATTCCAGAACCTGCCTGACTCCAGAACTCATACCCCTAACTATGATACCATCTGGACCCCAGAGCGACAGGTGGCTAGGCGAGGAGGACGGGGGCAAGAAGGGGCCCCCAGACAGCAAGAACCTGTGCAGGTGGCCTTACCCATGCAGGACACTGGTGAGCAGTGGCAACTGCCTTGTGTCTCTCTCAAGGCAGAGGGAGGCAGGTGTGTCTCTGAGCGAGTTCAACCCCTCTGGGCTCTGCACCTCCCTCAGGATCTGGGGCTCCCGATGATAGGCCACACGAATCCGAAACACAAATCCATCCTTTGGAAGAAGGTACGGAAAGAGAAGGCTATGTCAGCCCAGGACCCCAGGGGTACTCTGAGGCCTATGGCCCTGTTCCCCATCTTGGTGCCCCGAGCTTGGTGTCTTCTTCCACACTCTGACATCCCTGGTGCCCCGCCTCCCTGGGAACCTGGCTGCCTGCACCAGCCTAACCTTGAGGACATCCGTGTGCATGGCAGTGGCGTGGCACTGCAGACCATGCTGTTGCGTCAGCAGCTCTGCCAGGCGCAGCTGGAAGGCAGCTCGCACCCGCCGCACGGCCTCAGCATCCTGTGGCCACTGGCCACTGCCCTCCAGGTGACAAACCACTGAGGGAGAAGAGGAGTAAGAGGTTTCATACTGTGGCCTGGAGTGGGAACTATCCCTCCCACTTCCTCCCAAGGACCCTCTTACCGGGCATGGGCTCCACGTAGGCTGGACAGGGCTTATCGGGCCGGGGCAACAGTGAGGACCGCTCTTGCAGAGGCTCATAGAAGGAGAAGGCTGGTCGGACTGGAGTTGGTGGGAACACCTGTGGAAGAAAGCAGGCTGAGGAAGGGGCCTGGGACTGGGAGGGAGTGCTCAGAGTCGGGAGTTGGAACAGTGGAATACTGGGTGACCAGAGCAGGGGTGGGGCCACCAAGCAGAAAGGTCGCCTGCCCTGTGGCAACTCACCTCTGTGTAGCGCAGCACTGGATGAGCTCCCTGAACAGCAGACACGGTCAGTGGGAGACCCTCCAGTCCCCACAGTAGGCGACTGAGGTCATCGTAGCAACGTACTGCCACTGCCAGGGCCTCCTCGCCTGTGCTGGAGGTCTGAGAGGGAGAAGAAGGTCAGGAGGCTGGACCCTACGCAAGACCAGCACCACCTGGATTCTGTCCCGGCTCAGGCTGCAGCAGAGCCAGCACCGCCGCCTGCTGGACATGCCAGGAAGTGCAAGCTGGCTGAGGCAGAAAGGACTCTCCCTACAGATTACTCTACAATCACTAGCTTTGACCCTGAGACCCTTACCTCTTTCAGGCCTTGGATAAGTGCCTCCAGGGGACCCCCCACATAGTGAACACAGGTTTCTGGGATGTCAGCATGGCTGAAAAAGAGGCACAGATACAGTGAGAAAATGTGGGGCTATGTTCTCGCTCAACTGCCTGAGCCAGCCCCCAGAAAAAGCTCCCCAGCCCACACTGCCTCCTGGAATCCAGATACCAACACTCACAGTGCCAGGAGGTGAGTGACCACCTGGTGGGGAATAAGGCGCTTCTGGGACATAGAGGCTGCCTCCCAGACCACAGCTTCCCGGATGGCTCCATCCTGGAAACGCCGAAGCTCCGAGCGGGATCCCCAGAACTGGCGGAATTCAGCAGCCTGAGGAGGCAAGGGTGGTAGCAGTGCTGGGGAAGGAAGGGCTCTGTGAACCCTGCCCGACAAGCTTCAGTCCAGGTCCCGTGGGGACAAGCCACCCCGCTCCTTCCAGCGTACATGCTGGGATCCCTCACCTCAGGCTGGTCTGCCTCTGGACCCAGCTCAAGGATGCTGGTCAGTCCCTCAGGCCGGAGGAGGAGTCCCAGGGTCAGGGTCCCAGAGTCTTTGTGCTTTGGTGGATCTTGGCTGATGTCCCACTGCAGGATTTCAAAAGGCTGAGCTCAGTCCTTGAATCTTCCAGCCTGGCCTGGAAACCTATGGCCAGCTAGAAACACCTAGCTAGAGGAATGTCCTTTGTGTCTCTTGGGACCCTGGATCCAGCCCCACTCAGACCAAAACTCCCCAACCTACACCACCTCACCTCTGGGACTGGGGGCCGAGAGTGAGCCAGCAGGTGCAGCCGCGTCCCCAGGCCCTGCTCTAGGAGGGTGATCAGGGGATCCAAAGCAGCTGAGACATAGTCCCCACCATTGTCCTGCAGCTCTGGCCAGAGCTTCAGCCGGTGGCATGCTGCCTGCAGGCGACTCAGTGGACGAAGACTGGAGGGGTACAGAGGGCCAAAGAGGGGGAATCAGGTTGCCGGTCCCTAGTACCATCTCCTCCCTCAACGATCTGAGTCCCTATCTGAAGACCTTTGCCCCACCCCAAAGAGACAGGACCCACCAACATACCCTGTCACCCCTAAACTCACTGCAGGATGTGGTCAAAAGCCCGGATCATGGGTTTGGGAGTCATCAACAGCAGCTGGAACCCGTCGTCAGCTTTGCTGTCCAGCAACATCATAGACAGCTGTGCCTCGTGCTGCACCTGGAGCCACAGAGTAAAAAGGGACCATCCTTGTGCCCTTCATTGATCCAAGGGCTTAGACCAGAGACATGCCCTGAATCTAGCTCTTTGAACAGGAGTTTCTGGGGTTCTGGTACTTGAAAAAGAGACAGAGTCTAGGCTGGGACATCAGGGGACTAGGGGCCTATGGGTACCTGGTGGTAAGTACAGGCAGTGACATCAGCACAGAGGTTGAGGCGGCCTGAGGAGTCCAGGAAGACAACAGAGAAGGCCTGGTGGAAGTCAGCCAGGGCCGGCTTAGGAGGTGTAGAGAGAAGCAGGTCAGCATTGGCACCTTACTTTCAGGCCTCCTGGCATAGACCTGGCCCTTCCCAAACTCACCAAAGAGGGATCTGAGCTGAGACATAAACTGATCCCGTTGACTGTCAGGTCTGTAGTGGCTAAAGTGAACCACAAGTATATCAGAAGGTATCCCCCTCTGGGGACCCAGCCCTAATGACACCCTCCCTCAGGTGATTCAGTTTGCTCATCTGTCTGATGGCAAGAAACCAAAAGACCCCTGCTGGGATGAGAGGATTCCGGGAGGAGTGGGGCCCAAGGCCTTTCCCCACCTAGTTGCCTCACCCAGAAACTGCAAGACACTTCTCAGGACCTGGTAGCCACTCATGGTGGTATGGATCTTGCGTGTAGACACAAGGAAGACAACCAGCATGGAGACAAGGAACCCAGTAAGCCCACCCTTGCCCTGAAAGAGATAGAGGGAGAGGCGTGAGGTCAGAACCTGCCCATCACACAGGCAGTCAGGCAGGAAGGCTGGGCCACCCTCAACTCACCTTATCCAGCTCCCGCTGCCGCAGCCAGACCTTCAGAAGTGCCACGCCGTCCTTCAGGCCCTGAGCTGAACCCAGCGTGGTTGACAGGAGCTGCAAATGGGACTCGAGAGCTGTATCCTGCAGGACCCACGTGTTGTAGTGGGGGGTAGGGGGCTCTGGGCTACCTGTGGGAGGAAAAGGGAAGCCATGAGAGGAAAAGTCCCACATCTCCACCCTCCAGCTCCACCTCAACACCAGAGCCTGCTCACCATCCCCTGCAGGACTCTGCGCTCGGTACCAGGCAGAGCGCACATTGTTCTTGGTTGGCAGCAAGCGGCACGGACGGAAGAAGTCAGGTGGAGGGCACGGATGCAGACGTACAGTGACCAGGCGCTCATCCTTCCCTGGCAGAGATGGGGGTCCTGAGACTCTGCAGGAGCCCTTGGAGCCAAAGTGTTCCCCATCTTGTCCCCCCGTACTTGAGGCCTCTGTGCCTCCTCCTCCAGATTAACCACCCCATGCTGTGCCCTCAGCCCAGTGTGTCTCACCACGTGGCCGCAGCAACAGTGAAGGTTTCAGGTGGCAGCCATTGGTGTAGGAGAAGCGAACACTGCCAAAGAGGGGGTCCTGGGCCAGGTGGTAAGCCAAGTGGGCCAGGTAGAGGGCACGCTTGCGGAAGTAGCGCTGGTTCAGCCCGTCCTTGTCCTGTAGGATTTCCTGGAGGGGCCAGGGAAGAAGAGAAGGCCAGGCACATAAGTGCTTGTGGAGCTGCAGGCCAAGATGAAGCCAAGGTGAGAGTGCTGGGCTCCTCTGCTGACAGAAGTGCCTGAGCCACAGTTAGCAACACCATGCCCACATCTCAGATCAGGAGGGCAAAGCTCCAGAAGGACAGCAACTGGCCCAAGGAATCTAAGCCGCCCTCAGGATGCTTGCAACGGCCCACTCTTCTGATTTAGAATTCAGACTTCAATCCCCTGGCAAGTGGCAGATAAGAAAGAGGGATCCAGGGATTTGCAGATAGTCAGGTGGTGGGCCCCTATCCTCTAAACCCTGGACCTTACCCTGGGCATGGTCAGTGCCACATCCACGTTGACGTCTGGCCTGATGCAGGTGCCCAGAAGGTAGCTGCCCACAACAACAACCTGGGCTGGGGGCAGGAAGCGGAAACAGCCCTTCACGGCATAGGGCACTTGGTGGAGGGGTACTCGAACCCCAGCTGGGAGCCATGCCTGGTCAGTGAGCTGTGGGGGCAGAGATGGGGATACATATTGATTCAACTGACTTCCTCACATGTGCTGTTTATGTCTAGAAGACATCTTAACACATCAGTACGTTTGAAACCAAACTCCCATATGTCTTCCCTGCTAAGACAACTCCATATAACTTTCTTAAGCCAAAAACACTTAAACCACCTTATCTCTGTTAAGAATACCCATGTTACTACCAAAATGTATTTAGAAATGGATTTCTCTTAAAAAAAAATTTTTTTTAAAAGAAAAAAAAAAAAAATCAGGCAGGGCACGGTGGCTCACGCCTGTAATCCCAGCATTTGGGAGGCCGAGGTGCGTGGATCACAAGATCAGGAGTTCAAGGCCAGACTGGCCAACATGGTGAAACCCCGCCTCTACTAAAAAATACAAAAGTTAGCTGGACATGGTGGCTCGTGCCTGTAATCCCAGCTGCTTGGAAGGCTGAGGTAGGAGAATTGCTTGAACCGGGATCCGGGAGGCAGAGGTTGCAGTGAGCCAAGATCACGCCACTGCACTCCAGCCTGGGCTACAGAGCAAGACTCCATCTCAAAAAAAAAAAAGACAGTGGCTCACTTTGGAGGCCCAGGTAGGCGGCTCACCTAAGGTAAGACCAGCCTGACCAACACGGGGAAACCCCATCTCTACTAAAAATACAAAATTAGCCAGGTGTGGTGGCACATGCCTGTAATCCTAGCTACTTGGAAGGCTGACACAGGAGAATCACTTGAACCCAGGAGGCGGAGGCTGTGGTGAGCACTGCAGCCTGGGCAACAAGAGCGAGACTCCATCTCAAAAAAAAAAAGAAACGGATCACTTCTCTACTTTCCTCCCTAGTTTCAGCCAATGTTTCTCAGTGCCTATATTAGTTCCTAACTCTCACCGTTGTCCCTCTCCATTCTACTTTTGACACAACAGCCAGAGTAAACTTTTCTAAAACTAAACATTTTAAGGCCGGAAAAGTGAACTTTTTTTTTTTTTTGAGACAGAGTCTCGTTTTGTTGCCAGGCGCCAGGCTGGAGTGCAGTGGTGCAATCTTGGCTCACTGCAACCTCCACCTCCTGGGTTCAAGCAATTCTCCTGCCTCAGCCTCCCGAGTAGCTGAGACTACAGGCGTGCACCACCACGCCCAGCTAATTTTTGTATTTTTAGTAGAGACGGGGTTTCACCATGTTGGTCAGGATGGTCTCGATCTCTTGACCTTGTGATCCGCCCGCCTCGGCCTCCCAAAGTGCTGGGATTATAGGCATGAGCCACTGTGCCCGGCCAGGAAAAGTGAACTTTTAAAAGTTAGAGGGCACCACTGCTCTGCAAAATAAAACTCAGTAGTGGCTCCCCATCTCACCCAGAGCAAAGTCCTTATTTTGGGACACAATACCCTGCATGATATGCTACTTTTCCCCATCACCTTTTTAAACTCATCTCCTTCTATCTTTCTCATTCATTCCAAGGAATGTACCTGGAACATTCCTGCCTTTGTACTGGCTTTCCCCCTTCCTGGAATGGTCTTATTCCCTTAGATATCTATATAGCTGACTCACCTACTTCAAGTCTTTACACAAAAGTCTCTTCAGTAAGGCCTATTTTGTGAACACCTAAACTTATAAACCACTCCCATCCTCCAACATGCCCAATCTCCTGACCTTGCTTGTCCTAGTTTTTCCTTTTTCCAATGTTTACCACATTCTAACACTGCCATATAGTTTACCTGTCATGATTATTATCTATTATCTATAACCTCAACATTAGAGCATAGGCTATTTTGTTTACTGATATATCTTAAGAACACAAACACTACAAGACATGTAAGTACTTGCTGAATGAATACACAGATGACCACGCTCCCAGCTAAGCTTCCTTGCCATAAGAATGAGCTCCCTGCACCCCTACCCTTAAAGAGAATAACAGCAAGGCCCCTGTTAGAGTCACCCTCACAGTACTTAGTATATACTGAGGCAGTCAGGGCATCCTAGAGGAAATGGAACCTGGCAGGATGGGCCCTCATGGGCTTCCCAGTTTTCCACGCCACCTGCTTACCTCTGTCTCAGGGACTGAGGGCACCCTCATGACCCGCTGGTTGACCTCCCGTAGGAAGGCATCAATCCGATCCTTCTTCTTTTCTGACAGCCTTACTTCCTTTAGTAGCTCCTCTACCTGTAAGAGAGGGTGGAAGGTAGTCCGTAAGCCTCAGGGTCCCAGGTACTCCCCTCTAATCCACGCCCCAGACACTCAACAGTACCTGTAAACGAAGCAAGCTGGAGTGGAACAAGATCTCAGTCTCCCGAAGGTGATTAAGCTCTTCATTGGTAGGCTCCTTGTACAGTTCTGCCCGGCTGAGCTTCACTGGCTGCAGGAGGCCCTTCTCAGGAGGCTCAGCCAGTGTACGCTTCCTAGAGGATGCCTTCTTCCCCTCTTTGCCTTTGCCTTCCAGGGCTGGTTCCATCACCTATGGCCAGAGAGGGAGAAGCCCATGTGAAGTCATAGGTATCAAGCATCTGCTGCCTAAAGTGCCATCATAACAGGTTGTGAGCAAAGTCTTCACCTGTTCCTGGTCCCTCTTTTGAATAGGAGTCAGATTTTGTAAAACTCAGGAGAATCATTACTTGGAGGAACATCACTGAGTGCTGAACTGAAAATTCCTTGAGTTAAGAGCTCTCGTGTCTACCTGATACCACAAGCATGGAGCTGTTTGGAACTGGTAGGGATAGAAGCTGACCGGGCCCAGGCCAGACGCCGTGGCTCACGCCTGTAATCCCAACACTTTGGGACGCCGAGGTAGGCGGATCAGCTGAGGTCAGGAGTTTGAAATCAGCCTGGGCAACATGGGGAAACCCCATCTCTATTAAAAATATAAAAACTAGCCGGGTGTGGTGGTATATGCCTGTAATCTTGGCTACTCAGGAGGCTGAGGCAGGAGAATCACTTGAACCTGGGAGGTGGAGGCTGCAGTGACCTGAGATTGTGCCACTGCACTCCAGCCTGGGCAACAGAGCAAGACTCTGTCTCAAAAA